CCTGACTGGCCAAATCCAAGGCATCTAAAAAGGCGTAAAACTGAAGACTCGATTTCCCTGCACCCGTGTGGGGCTTCGAGAGCCTGAGAATATGCTGGTCTGGGGAAAGGGTGTGAAGAAGGCCTCGGGTCTGCTGTGTGGAGCAACGACTGCCTCTCTAGGGATTCTGGGCACAGGTTAACAATGGAGCCCAGAGAAGAAAGTCGGAGACAGCCATCATCGGGGTGCTCTGGGTGGCTCTGAAGCAGGTGCATGGTGGGAAAGAACCTTACGGGGATTCCTCCGGTAGGAGGAAGGGAAGAGACCTTGGAGGACGATGGAAGTTCAGGATGGAAGGGCTCGCGGTGTCCCTGAGGACTGAGGAACCTTGCGGAGGTCCTCCTCCCAGGAGCAACAGCCAAGAGAGGTGTGGCTGTAGAGCCCTCTCTGCCCTGGCTGACGGCCCTCAGGGTGGGCTGAGCAGTGGCGGCCCTTACAAGTGCGCCACCTGGTGGCCACTGTGGCCAATGAGTCCACGGACAGGCATCCTCGCATATCCAGCTCAGGGACCAGAAAAGCCACCATGATCCCTTCCCTGGCCTACTTCGGGGAGTGTGGAAAGCGGACCCCCTTCATTGCTCAGGTCCCCAAGGGTGTTCTGCAAGGATGGGCCATTGCTAGCCCTGGGGTGGTCTGCCTTTAGCTCCTCCCATGGCAACTTCATGCCAGAGAGCGCCAGATCCAGATCCGACTTCGTACCAGACTGCCCTCTACACACACACACACACACACACACACACAGGTGTGCCCAACCATCATCACCCTTGAACCCAACACTCCTCTCCAAACCCGCCTCCCAAGGACAGCTGCCCTTCTCTCTCAAGGCTGCAAAGGAAAGCACAGGAGGGACCAGCAGATGGCGTAATAGTTACATCACTGGACTCCCACATAGCTGACCTCAGTTCAAGTCCCAGACCCAGCGGCTTAAAACTCACACCAGGGATGTGTGTACGTGTACCCAAAACCCCAAGAGGAAAATGCAGCGTGGCCATCTCCCCCAGGGGGGTGATTTCTTTCTTTCTTCTTTATTTTTTTGGAGAGGTTTTTGCTATAGGGCACGTGCGGTCGCCAGAAAGACAGACAGAGACAGAGAAGACAGAGAGACAGAAAGTGAGAAATCACTCCCCGGGGGGATGGCCATGCCGCAATCCCTTCTCCTCCATTCTCCTCTTAGGATCTTGGGTACGCATGCACATGTGCCCAACCTGAGTTTAAGGCACCAGGTTCGAGACTGGAACCACAATCGACTACATGGGAGTCCAGCAACATAGCCATTACACTAACTGCTGGTCCTGGGGGGTGATTTCTTGCTTTCTGTCTCTCTCTCTGTCTCTTTATCTCTCCAGCGAGCACACATGCCCTATAGAGAAAAATCTCTCTTTTTTTAAATAGTAAAAAATAAAAGAAAGTACGCACAGGCATCTGTTCTGGAACCATCTACTGCATTTCACATTACTTCTTCCTCATTTTCAGCTCATTATTTCCTAATTATCGCCAATACTCTAAGCGTTAGGATATATCGTAAATGAACAACATTTGTAAAGACCGCTTGCCCTTTGACTTTATCTGGCAGCCTTCCCTAACCAGAATCTCCCCAGAGGGCATGCGGCCCACCCAGCCCAGCAATCCTATGAGCAGAGGCCTGTCCACGGCTGCGGCTGCGGGACGGGTGACTGTCTGCCCCATTGGCACTGGTCACTCTCTTCGTTCCTCTCGGTCCTCCTCTCCACCTTGACCACAGTGCAACTCAGTCTTGTTGCCCACAGAGTAAGGTCTGGAAGGACCTGCACTGCCATGCTGTTAACAATATTTACCCCGGAATAGGCATAAAAAGGAAGAATGAAGAATGTTCTGGAGGCGAGCAGGTGGCATGGCAGGGGCAGCTGGTCCCACATGGACAGCTGTGTGGTTTGAGTCCCAGCTCTTGTGGCTTGAAAAAACACTCTGGCACATGTGTATGTGTGCCCAAAATCACGAGAATGAAGGAAAAAGGATTGCGGTGTGGCCACACACACACCCCCTCCCCCGGAGTGTGATCACTCCCCCTTACCCTCCCCCTGTGTGAACTCACACACCCTATAGCAAAAATTTAAAAAAAGAAAAAAAGAAGCAGAAGAATCTTCTGAGTTATTTGACTTTCTCTCAAGAAAGCACACAATTAGGACCAGCATATGGTGTGATGGCTACATCACTGGACTGCCACATAGTCCATCGTGGTTCAAGTCCTGAACCTGCCGGGTTAAAACTCACGCTGGGCATGTGTGCGTGCATGCCCAAGATCCTGAGGGGAGAATGAAGGAGAAGGGATTGAAGTGTGACCAACCCCCTGGGGGGTGATTTCTCACCTCTGTCTTTCTCTGTCTCTCTGGTGAGTGTACACGCTCTATAGCAAAAATAAATAAATAAATAAAAATAAAGACCTCTAAAACGAAGAAGTAGGGACCAGCAGTTGGCGCAATGGCTATGTTGCTGGACTCCTATGGAGTCGACAACGGTTCGAGTCCTGGACCCAGTGGCTTAAACTCACACCAGGTGCATGTGCGTGTGTGTCCAAGATCCCAAGAGGAGAACGGCGAAGAAGGGATTGCGGTGTGGCCATCCCCCCCGGGTGGTGATTTCTTGCTTTCTGTCTCTCTGTCTCTCTCTGCCTTCCTGGAAGCGCACACGCCTTATGGCAAAAACCTCTCAAAAAACACACACACACACACACACACACAAAAGAAGAAGTAATTTCTGGTAGAAACATAACCAATGTCACATAACCTGTAACATAACCTGCCGGCAGCAGAAGCCACCTTGGCATGTGACAGTCCCCAGTGAGGCTGCCACATCCCTCCATTCCTTTATCCCACAGTGGTACCAGCACCTACTAGTGGTAGGCAGATGGAACACAGTCCTGCCCCTTCCCCATGGAGGCATCATTCCAGGGAAGAACAACAAAGAGCGGAGTATGCGGAAACAAAGGAGATAGGGACCAGCAGTTAGTGTAATGGCCATGTTGTTGGACTTACATGTAGTCAAACGCAGTTCGAGTCCTGGACCCGGTGGCTTAAACTCAGGCTGGGCACACGTGGGTGCATGCCCAAGATCCTGCGAGGAGAATGGAGAAGGGACTGCGGCGTGGCCATCCCCACTGCGGGGAGATTTCTCGCTTTCTGTCTCTCTGTCTCTCTCTGTCTTTCTGGCGAGCACACGTGCCCTATAGCAAAAACCTCTCAAAACAAAACAAATCTAAGGCACATGAACTCATGGGGGGGGGGAGAAGAAAGCTTGGGAAAATGAGAAAGCACCCCTTAGGGATGGCCACACCACAATCCCTTCTCATTTTCTTCTTGAGATTTGGGATGCACATGTACACCCAGTGTGTTTTTCTTTTGTTTTTTGAGAAGTTTTTGCCTTAAGGCACGTGTGCTCGCCAGGGAGAGAGAGAGAGACACAGAGACTGTGAGGGAAAGTGAGAAATCACCCCCCAAGGGGGATGGCCAGGTTGCAATCCCTTCTTCTCCATTCTCTTCCTGGGATCTTAGGCACACACACATATATGCTCAGCGTGAATTTGAAGCCACCGGGTCTGGGGCTTGAATCACAGTCAGTCGTGTGGGAAGCCAACAATGTAATTGCTATGCCATCTGCCGGCACCCAGGTGTATTTTTCAAGCCACCGGGTCTTGGACTCATAGCTGGCCATGTGGGATCCAGCTGCCTTAACCACTATGCCACCAGCTGACCCTTAATC